TCCCCCCCCCCCCCCCCCCCCCCCCCCCCCGCCCCACCCAGATGCTCAACCCCAGCCTTGCAGAGCTCTGGGCTGTGGGGGATTGTCCTGCCTCCTTCCTTCACCTTGGCAGCCCCCCTGCCTCAGAGTTCCACTTCATGTGCACTTTCTTAGCACCCCACCAACACTTTTCCATTTAAAGCGTCCCCAGCATTTCACTCCATTGTTTTTGTGCATTTCTAGTGTTCTGCGGGCATTTTAAGATGCGTGGCTGGGTGATCCACATTATCTTCCTAGTTACTAATAATTTGATAATTGTGTTTGTTAGTATTCTGGTTCCAACGTTGCATATTTTTTTTACTGGTTTCTTCCTAACCCTATTTATCTCATAAACCCTGTGTTATTTTTGTTCTTGTAACTTAAATTTTTTTATTCGTGTATAATATTTCATAAAATGTTCTGATCTTAAGGATATTGTTAGATAAATGCACATCAGAACACAGAACTTAGATCACCCCAGACAGTTCCCTTGTGCTACTTCCTAGTCAGTGCCCCTCCCCCACCTCCACCCCCACAAGGAGCAACCTCTGATCTGATAGGTTAGGTTAGCCTATTCTAGAATTATTATACAGTATCTATTTTCTTTCCCTCAGCGTAATATTGTAAAGATTCATCTATGTTGTGTTTATCAGTATTATTTTTTTTTAATTATTAAAGTTGTATTTCTTTGTGTGAACGTTCCACAATTAGATGATTTTTTTCTCCTATTACTGGATATCTAAAGTATTTGCAGTTTGGCGTGATAATGAATAATGCTCCTATGAACATCTCTGTGCAGGCCTTTGTCTGGACGTATGTTTTTACTTCACTTAGAATAAATAAATATCTGGGAGTAGAATGTTAGATCATAGTATAGTTGTAGCTCTTTTTAAGAAACAGCCAGTTTTCCATAGTGTTTATAGAGTTTCACATTCCCACCAGCAGTGTGTGGGAGTTCCAGGTGTTCCCCATCTTCACTAGTTGGTGGTGTCAATCGTTTTCATTTTGGCCACTGTGCTGGGTATTTCATTGTGATTTTAATGGGTATTTTTCAGATGATTAATGATGAGCACTTTTCATGTGCTGATTGGCCATTGTACATCTTCTTCGTGAAGTGCCTAAGTCTTCTGCCCATTTTTAAATAGGTTGTTTGTCCTTTTATTGTTGGGTATAAATCCTTTGATGGATGTATGTATTATGCAAAATTTCTCTTAGTCTGTGGTTTTTAATAAACCCTGATATTTTTAATAATTTTACAGAGCAAGAGGTTTTTTCCAGTAACATATATATTGTGTTATAAAAGTCCATACTCCATAGATGACAGCCATCATTGATAACTAATATTATTACAGCCCTAATAAGGTTACAGTTTTGATTTTCAGCAGCCAATTAATTGGGGGCCTTTGCCTGCAAGCCTTATTGCATAGTCATTTAGAAAGTTGCTTCATCTCAGCTTCCTTCAGTAGCAGTGTGTCCAAGACACCTGGTCCCCTCCTACACCACAGATGGCAACAGCAGGGGGATACAGTGGCCATTGTTTTACTTGTTTCTATATGAAGCCTAAATGTCCTGGAGACTGCTGGTCCAATTCCAAACACATAAAGAAGAATGCAAAGGTGAATGCAAATTGGGGTCATAAGCCAGCTTGTTTTGCCATGTAGAAAATATGGAAATAGTTGCTACACATTGCACAAAACATCTGTTGAAGTAAGGTTTTCAATTTGAATGCTTTGAGAGAGACTGCCCAACTCCCAAGATTGCCTGGTAGGAAAGCAGATGGGCAATTTAGGCAGTCTTATACTAACTCATTATTTCTGCTGAAACACAAGCTTAATTTGGTAATTCTAAGACAGTGTTCTGAGTTTGTCTTTTGGAGATATGCAACCTTCAAAAACATGATATGGCCACGTCTGAAAGCTTTGGTTGCTATTGTTTGGATGTAGGTCAGAAGAAGGATAGAACCTTGTTCTTTTTTTTTTTTTTTTCTTTTTGTCTTTTTTACTGACCGGTAATGGGATCGCAACCC